AGCGACCCCTCCTTGGGTTTCCGAGGCAGTATCACTACGGAAGTAGGATTGCCCAACCTTCCTTCCGAGGAGTGGCTGGTGGGTTTGAACCGCCAGCTGTCTGGTTAGCAGGCAAGTGTCTTAGCCACTATGCTACCAGAGCTCCCATACCATATGCTATTTACCATTCATAAACATAAAGTTCATTGTTACTGTCTATTCTCTGCCTATAAATAGTCAGGGTTAGGCTAGGCCCTAGAATACTTATGAAGGATTTCTTAATGATTGACCATCAAGGAAGTGAGAAGCAAATTGGCTTACATTGTAGGAGCGGGGGTGCCTTTGCTTCCACTGCACGAGGAGCAGCTGGGCCACAACCAACGTAGCGATGAGGATGAGGACCATCTCAGCATGCATGGCTTCGTGGCCACGGTGCTTGGCATGCATGCGTGCGTGCTCGACTCTGAAAGCCAAATACATGGAGTGAGGCAGGTCAGAGATGGTGTAGTGGTAAAAGGGCAGCGATTTTCAGGGATATCCCAAAGTCCAGAGGTCAGAATACATTCCTACATTTGGCAGCTACAGGGTACTGTGCAAATTAGGGGCTAGAAAGACACATACCCTAAAGGACAGGCATTTGGGGATACAACAAGGCTCTATGGACCCCAGGAATCAAGTTCAGCTATTGGGGTTAGAGGTGGGTGGTCTATTGATTTCCCCTACCCCCACAGCAGAAACATTGACAACCTTCCTGTAGCAGGAAGGAGGTCCCAAAAGATACCCGATTTCAGGCCTATTTCAGCCTGTCACTGGAAGGACAAAGTAATTCAGAGAAAAGGTTACAGCCATAAAACCTCAAAGGTATTTATGATACCAATAAATGAGTAACAGGAACATTGCAAGTATGTGCAGATTCTAGGGTTAAAGTCTTGTCTCACTCATCCTATCCTCCCTGAACCAGGTATACTTAATGGTTATTTTAAGCCTAAAGAATCTGGACTACTTCAACTTTACACTAACCCAATAATGACTTCACCACCAGCCTTCACAGGTAAACATCCACAAGCACTCAAGGAAGCTCAGTAATTAGAGAGTACAGATGAAATTTATTTAATCTAAGGTCAGCATTTTTGGTCCTGAGGTCCTGGCAACAGGTGATTCAGTACTGGCAAAATGCTTTCTCTGAGAAAACAGAATAGTCACTCTCACCACTCTAGGTCAGAGTCAGCCACAGGAGAGAAGTGAGGGAGCATTTAGAGAGATAACCAAAGACAAATGTAGCCTGTAGCCAAGAGCTTTTAAACAAATTCCTTATGCAAGGGGTTACTGGGAAAGGAGAGAAAGAACAACATAAATGATGGCTTTATGAGATTCCCAAGAGCAATGGAGACTAATAGCAAAAAGAACCCAGTGCGATGAATCATGGATAGACATATGAGAAAGCAAATATAGCAAAAAAGCTAACTGGAGACTCTAAGTGGTAGGTATAAGGGTGTTGTTCACTGTATAATTCTTTCAACTTTTCTGTATGTTTAAAATTTTTCATAATAAAATGTTGAAGGGGGTGCTCAGTGGACAGAGTGGGCAGAAGTCATGCTAGAGCCACTGTAGGGATAGTCAGCCAGCCAGCCACAGCATTCCTAAGGGTTCATCTTATATAAAATTCTATGCTGGGTGCAGAATCTGGCAGAAAGAAAAAAGGGCTGGGGGTCAGAAACTTAGGTTCAGACCCACCTTTGTGGGCTTGGCTGAGAAACTTCAGATCTCTATATCACAATTTCTTCATCTGTCAAAATGAATTCTTATCTGTTCTGCTTACCTCATAGGGTTGCTGTTAAGATACGCTAAGCCAAAAGTGTGGAGAACACTTTAAAAACCTAAGAATTGTGGGAATTTATAAAGACATTAAGAGACAAATTTCTTATTCTCAGATAGTATAGTACTGAATGGATGTGTACAACATGAAATCAAAGAAGGAATTTTGAAAAGATCAGAAGTTACCCAGTTCAAGCTCCCACCAATGCAAAAATTATTTTTGTGGTCCTTTGCTAAATACTTCCATTAACTGAGAACATATGACTCCTGAGGTAGTTTAGTCTAGAACTAGCAGTGTCGGGCACACTGTAGATACTCCTATTTGCTTATGAATGAATAAAATCCCAATGTTTCAAAGGCCAAAAAACTCATTACTTCTTTTTTGAAATGCATTTTTTGAAATATAATTTACGTACAGTGAAATACATAAAACTAAAGTGACATGGGTCAATGGTTTTTTTTTTTTTTTTGCCATGTTCCCTCCCCTCCCCTCCTAACCCTGGTAACCAACAAAGAAAGTTTTCCTCCATATATAAACCTTTCTTGACCCTCAACAACAACCAACTAGTACTATATTTGTCCTTGAAAGTCATTACTTCTTAAAATATATTTTTATTAAAAGATGTTTCTGATAATGAGACAAAACTTACTATGCTATAGCTACAATCCATTGAACCTAATCCTATACTCTGGAACAACAAAGGACATATCCATTCTTCTTTCTCAATGCCATCCCTTCAAAGATTTATCACAATCCTACTAAAAAACAAAAACTAAAACCTACCCTGTTCCTTCCACCACCACATTCCTATGCCCTTTTAGACTAACAGTTCTAACTCTTTCAACCACTATTCATACAGCATTATGCTAAGATCATTTCTTATGGCTGCCTTCTTCCAGACATGATCTAGTTAAGTTTAAGATCTTTTAATATTCAGTGCCTAGGACAAAATTAATGTGGCTTTAGCAAAGTAGAGCACAGTGGCACTGTCAACTCTCTTAAGGCAGATTAGTATATTTCTATAAACATCTTCTAAATCTCACGACTTTGGTAGCTGGGGTATACAAATGGTACATACTAAGCTTAGTGCTATTGTAAGTTGCTGTTGTTTAAATCCACCTAAAATCACCCTGAGATGTCATGTGAGTTGGTATCTTTACCACCCTATACTTGTATAATTAATAGTTTTAATCTAAATAAAGGTTTTTTTCTCACTATTAAACTTTACTTGATTAATTTCAGCTCACTGATCAGCCATTTTGTGAAGTCTGTGGGGCAGGCACTCCAAAATCCCTTTACTGCTGAGAAGTCATGACGCTGAGATAATGTTTACTGATTCTGGTTATAAAACAAATATATCATGGATGGTGATGATGATGATGTCAATGATGATAATCATCTTCAAAACAGCTAACACTTACTAGAAGCTGATCACATGCCACTCACTGTTCTAAGAGTTTCATGTATATTAATCCTCACAACTCTACAATGTAGATATTATCGTTGTTGTTATGTGCTGTCGAGTCAGACCCGACTCATAACAACCCCTCCTTGGGTTTCCTAGGCAGTATCACTATGGAGGTAGATTGCCCCGTCTTCCTTCCGAGGAGTGGCTGGTGGGTTTGAACCGCCAGACTTCTGGTTAGGCACTACGCTAACCAGAGCTCCCAGTATACTATTATGATACTAATTTTACAATTGGGAGAAACTAAGGCAGTAAGAAGTAACTTGCCCAAGATCATAGAGCTAGTAATGGCAGAAACGGTATTCAAATCCAGCTAAATCATATGGTATGGATTACTTACTTACTCCCTAGGACAGAGGGAGCTACTCAGGAGTGACCCACAGACTGGGAAAAACCCCAGAAGACCTGTCCTGCCAGTCATAAGCCACTCCCTCCCACAGATAGAGAAGCAAAAAAGGATAGGTATACAACTCTATTACCTGGGCTAACCTACAATTTCCAGCCTGAGGGGCCCACACTGCCACACTTACCTCCATTGCTCCTCTGGGGACAGGTCTGACATATCAACCTGTAGAAAGACACCACCAAAAAAATTCATTATTATCTTAGAATTGATCCTACCCAAGGGAAAATGCTCATGCATCCATCAACATCTTCAAGGCAGTTTGGGAAGCTTCAAGTCTTAGAATTTCTACGAAGCCTTCCCCAACACTGCATTTCACACTGATCTCTCCCTTCTCTGCCCACTTATATTAGCTTATGCCTATGACTCAAAATGTGTTGTGCTGTGCTAGGCAATGAGGAGAGAAGAGCGAAAGAATCCTAAACCCCAAGAAGCTCACAGCCCAATGACGAAGACAGACATATAAACAAGTAACTTCTTTATTGTATGCTAACAATTAGCTATGGAAGAATAGAGAAATGGCTTCTAACCCAATCTGTGGTTATTAGGGAAAGCTTCCTGGACAAGATGTACAGTATTTCCAGAACTGAGATGAAAATGACGAAATGAGAGAAGGATGTTCCAGGCAAGAAAAAGAACAAGAACACAAAGGAATAAAGTTGCACAGTATACAAGCAATTGAGTATGGCTAGACCAAAATGTATAAATTAGGATTAGCGGGAGATGAAGTTAGATAAAACAGCCTGTCATATAATGCCATTTGATTCTAAATGACTTCATGGTAGCGGGAAGAACATTACACTAAAGTGAACTGAGCTTTAGTCTCTGCTCTGCTATTAACTAGTGACATGGCCTTCCAACCTCAAAGTTCTGATTCCATTTACCTTAGTCTTGTCCTTCCAGAGTGGAGTTTCTCAATCTCAGTACTACTGGCATTTTAGGCTAGTTAATCCTGTTTGGTTGTTGTTGTTGTTGTTGTTGTTGTAGCATAGTGCCTAAGGCACTTGATTGCTCACCAGAAGGCTGGCGGTTCAAACCCCCCAGCCACTCCTCGGAAGGAAGGTTGGGCAATCCTACTTCCGTAGTGATACTGCGTTGGAAACCCAAGGAGGGGTCGCTATGAGTCAGGGCCGACTCGACGGCAAAACAACAACAACAACAACAACAACAACAACCTTGTTTGGGGTGGGGATGAGGATGATGCTTAGCAGCATCCCTGGCTTCTCCCCATTATATGTCAGTAGCATTTCCCAAGCTGCAACAACCAAAACCACCTTCAGAAATTGCCAAATGTCCCCTAGGAGACAAAATCATTCCCAGCTGAAAACCATTGCTCTGGAATAATAGTAAACACTGAGTCTAGGACTCAAGTCTTCTACTTCCCTCGTATCCATACAGAAGCTTACACAAATCTCAGTATATTGAGTCACTCAATACATTCTTATACTGACTGAGCTAAAAACATTCCTTGATCTGGAGAAGAAAAATAAGGTCTCAAAATTACTCAAATGAACCACCAACAAGTATTTCTTTAGTGTTTATGATGTTCAAGGCCCACTTTCCTACTGTTCCTATGATACATTCAGAAAAAAGTGCTTTAAATAGACATTTGACATGAAACAGGCAGAACTATTATTGAGTCAAATTGGCACAATTTACTAGGTATCCTTTATGTGCGTGTATTAGGAACATCCATCACTATTTAATGAGGGCTTCTGACTTACAAGTGGAGCTTCCAAAATAAGACAGAGCTGGAAGAAGGAAGAGGCCATCTACTTCACAAAGAACTGGCCAGTGAAAACCTTATGAATAGCAGTGAAACACTGTCTGATATAATACTGGACAACTTTATGAATAGCCCTGAAACACTGTCTGATACAGTGCCAGAAGATGATGTCCTCAGGTCAGAAAGCACTCAAAATATGATTGGGAAAGAGCTGCTTCATCAGAGTAGAGCTGACCTTAAGGGTATGGATAAGGTAGAGCTTTCGGGACCTCCACTGGCTGATGTGGCATGACTCAAAATGAGAATAAACATCCATTAATAATTGGAACATGGAATGTACGAAGCATCAATCTAGGAAAATTGGAAACCAAAACCAAAACCACAACCAAATGCACTGTTGTCGAGTCATATCCAACTCCTAGCGACCCCTCCTAGGTTTCTGAGGTGTTATCACTACAGAAGTAGACTGCCCAGCCTTCCTTCCAAGGAGTGGCTAGTGAGTTTGAACTGCCAGCCTTCTGGTTAGCAGTCAAGTGCCTTAGCCACTATGCTACCAGAGCTCCCGACCTTGAATATATCCCTCCTAAATTTAGAGACCATCTAAAGAACAGATTTCATACACTGAACACCAATGACCAAAAACCAGAGGAATTGTGGGATAACATCAAGAATATCATCCATGAAGAAAGCAAGAAGTCATTAAAAAGACAAGAAAGGAAGAAAAGATCAAAATGGACGTCAGAATAGACTCTGAAACTTGCCCTTGAATGAAGAGTAGCTAAAGCAAATGGAAGAAATGACAAGATAAAAAAGCTGAATAGAACATTTCAAAGAGCGGCTCGAGAATACAAAGTCAATTATTATAATGAAATGTGTAAAGACATAGAGTTGGAAAGTCAAAAGGGAAGAACATGCTTGGCATTACTCAAACTGAAAGAACTGAAGAAAAAAATTTAAGTCTCAAGTTGCAACACTGAAAGATTCTATGGGCAATATATTGAATGATGCAGGAAAACATCAAAAGAAGATGGAAGGAATACACAGAGTCACTGTACCAAAAAGAATTGGTCAATGTTCATCCATTTCAGGAGGTGGCATATGATCAAGAACCAATGGTACTGAAGGAAGAAGTCGAAGCTGCACTCAGCGAAGTGGTGAAAAACAAGACTCCAGGAATTGATGAAATACCCATTGAGATGTTTCAACAAATGGATGCCCCGCTGGAGGGACTCACTCGGCTATGCCAAGAGATTTGGAAGACACCTGTTTGGCCAATCGACTGGAAGAGATCCATATCTGTACCCATTCCAAAGAAAGGTGATCCCACAGAATGTGGAAATCATCGAACAATATCATTAATATCATACATAAGTAAAATCTTACTGAAGATAATTCAAAAACGGTTGCAGCACTATATTGACAGAGAGCTTCCAGAAATGCAAGCTGGATTCAGAAGAGGACATAGAACAAGGAATATCATTGCTGATGTCAGATGGATCTTAGCTGAAAGCAAAGAATACCAGAAAGATGTTTACTTGCGTTTTATTGACTATGCAAAATCATTCCATTTTGTGGATCATCACAAATTGTGAATAACATTGAGAAGAATGGAAATTCCAGAACATTTTATTGTACTCATGAGGAACCTGTATATAGACCAGGAGGCTGTCATTCGAACAGAACAAGGGGATACTGTATGGTTTAAAATCAAGAAGGGAGTGTGTGTCAGGGTTGTATCGTTTCACCATACTTATTCAACGTGTATGCTGAGCAAATAATCTGAGAAGCTGAACTATATGAACAAGAACGTGGCATCAGGACTGGAGGAAGACTCATTAATAACCTGCAATATGCTGACGACACAACTTTGCTTGCTGAAAGTGAGGATGACTTAAAGCACTTACTAATGAAGATTGAACACTACAGTCTGCAGTATGGATTATACCTCAATATAAAGAAAACAAAAATCCCAACAACTGGACCAATAAGCAGCATCACGATAAAGGGAGGAAAGAACAATGTTGTCAAAGACTTAATATTGCTTGATTCTACACTCAACACCAATGGAAGCAGCCCTCAAGATATCAGACGACGTATAGTATTGGGCAAATCTGTTGCAAAAGACCTCTTTCAAGTGCTGAACAGCAAAGATATCTCCCTGAAGATTAAGGTGCACCATACAAAAGCCATGGTATTTTCAATCGCCTCATATGCATGTGAAACCTGGACAATGAATAAGGAAGACCAAAGAAGAGTTAATGCTTTTGAGTTGTAGTGCTGGTGAAAAATACTAAAATTACCATGGATTGCCAGAAGAACTAACAAATCTGTCCTGGAAGAAGTGTAACCACAATGCTCCTTGGAAGCAAGAATAGCCAGCCTTCATCTCACCTACTTTGGTCATGTTGTAAAGGGACCATTCCCTGGAGAAGGATATCATGCTTGGTAAAGGGAAGGGTCAACAAAAAAGGGGAAGTTCCTCAACAAGATGGATTGACACAGTGGCTACAACGATGGGCTCAGGTATAGCAAGGATCATGGGACTGGCACAGGACCAGGCAGTGTTTTATTCTGTTGTATACAGGATTGCTATGAGTCAGTGATGATTTGACAGCACCTAACAACAACAATTTGACTTAGGTCTTCACCTCCCCAGAAAGACCAAGGCCTTCATCTCTGAGAGGGTGCAATTGGATTCAAGAAGTGGAAAGGCCCAGCTAGCAAACATCTGACCAGACAACTAAGGACCACATTTCTAAAGAACAATCAATCCATAGGTTTCATGCTACCTATCAAAAGTCCTTTCTTCTTCTTTTACAACTTTGACCTATGTCGTGCCAAGTAAATATGTTCATTGTCCCAAAACACACAAGACTCATTCTTGACTCTGGGCCTTTGCATATACTCTTCCTTCTGCTTGCAATGTCCTTCCCTTTCTTTTTTCTCTCATCGAAATCTAACTTATCCTTTGAGAACTCAGGTTCAACTTCCCTAGGAAACCCTTATCTGATCCCTTAGCTCAGTGAATTCAGCCTTCTACTTTTCTCCAGCATGTATTTCTCCTTGCTACTCAAAGTGTGGCCCAAGGACAAGCAGTATCAGCATCATCTGGGATCCTGTTAGAAATGCAGAATCTCAGACACCACTCCAGACCTACTGAATCACTGCCTTTTACTAAGTTCTTCAGGTGATTCATGTGCACACTGAATTTGCAAAGCACTGTTTATACCATTCACCCATAATTTATGTTATCTTAGACATGTTTTCCAAGTGATCTAACTGCTTCTTAAGTCCAGGACCAGGACTAGGGTAGAGCAAGGGGCTTATGGCACAAAATTTACAGAAGCATTCACTTTCAGGTGCCAACTATGCATTTGTTTGACCTTGAGAGTATGTGCCTTAAAGTTTGTGCCCTAGCACCTTGTTTCCCTCACCCTAG